TGGCTGGCTCAAGAGATTCATATTCATGAAGCTGCCTATAATTTTCGATGTTAATAACATTTTATGATTATTGTTTCATATTTTTTCATGGAGTTTTTGTATGGTAGTCGTCTCTTCAGGTGATGAGTTGTCACAAGATGGGGTAGATATAAAGTAAGTTGGAACATTGATTGTGGGAGTTTAGTCTTTCCATATACAAATGAATGAACTTGACATCATCTTATTGTATTGGTGAGCTTAAATCTTTGCCTCCCAAATGTTATATAGAGAAATAATAGTCAAACTTTTATTCATAAGATAAAAAAAAATCTTGCTTTTTTTTACATATGGTGATATCAAAATCTATGCATTTCATAAATAATGGAATGTCTCTATATAATCATAATATAATATTTGACTTGATTTGAGCCTCAATTTAAGATCAAAACCAATTTGAATAAGTTTAATTTGATTTCCATAGTTGCATGCGATTGAGCTTTTGCACGGAATGCATGGCATATATACCAAATTCAAGCCTCATATGTTCCTCTCGTATTTTGATAACAATTAAATATTAGCTTCACTTGCACAAAAGGAAATAATTTGGGGGGAAAGGGAGTTCACATTATGTATGGAGAGACCGGTCAAGAGAGGCTTAGAGAGAGAGAGGGAGAGAGAGAGAGAGAGAGAGAGAGAGAGAGAGAGAGAGGTTAAAACCCAAAGGGAAAAGGACTTAGGATTGCTCCTAAAAAGCTAAATGACTTTGGATCCATGACATTAATCCATTAAACAAGTATGAAATAGGAATGTAGTGAGAAGGATTTCACAAATTTAATCCGTTCCATGTTGTTGCTACTAGCTGCCTCACTGTCACACCATCATAAAAGAGCTTTAGACCGAAAGAGAATATGTTCAAAAAATGTTTACCGTTATGCGGTCGATGACCCAAGGCAACAAACAACAAAGATATCCGGAATCAACCCAAGTTTTCTTGCCTAGACCTCATGTGAGAACTATGAACCTTTAGTTAAGAAGTTTTATATTAACATCATGATAATTTATGTAATTTCTTCGTTGCTAACATGTATACACACTAAATATACTTCTTCAGCTTACCTGCTTGACCGAAAAATTGCATTCACAAAGTAACAAAACCAGCTTAAGCTTGAATTCTTGACAGCATGTAACCATTAGCAATGAAATGTTAGTACGAAATGATGCTTAGCTTGAATTCTTTAAATGAATGATTGTATAGCGGATCAACAACTCAACGATAACAACGACAAGCCTTTATTGCACTAAGTGGCGTCGTCTACATGAATTCTTTTTCTCCATTGCGTCCTATTGAGTGTCATATAAGGACACAATGGAAAAAAATGATTCAGGTAGCCGACCCCACTTAGTGAGATAAATGATTGTTGTTTTTGTTGTGTTGTTGATCCACCATACAATCATTCATTTAAAGAATTCAAGCTAAGCAAAAAATATTCTCAAAATGTCAGGAAATGATAGTTCCGACACTTTGAGGGCATCAGCTGTCTAGCAAGGTGGTTGGTAGGTCTCCAAGCACAATCTCTGTATACTACAAAAATGTTGGCACAAATCTAGAGGAGATTGGATAACCTGGATTAGAGGCGTGCGATGAAGTTCCATACTAAACAATTGAAATTTTACAAGCAAACAACCGATTAGCTTTATGGAAAAATCGACTGACAGATCCACCGAACGAGAGAACACAAGCAAGTGAATGCACACTTATGTCAAATTATTGGATCTCTTCGAGAGAACTGTGGTCAGTCGACAGAGTCAGCCGACCGGAACATGAGACGATTGGCATAGTCAGTCAACCTGCACATCAGACTATCGAAAGACAGCAAATTTTTATTTGCATTATAATGTAAATTTCTACTAGATAGACATGTCGATTCAATGCTAAGGAAAACTATAGTAATAATTTTTTTCTTTTATGTAACTGTATTTTGAGACCTCTATAAATAGGAGGTCATGACATCAATAAAGAGATTTCTTTTTTGGAATCTCACACGGGAGATTCTCTCATACTCTTGACTTCTCTCATCACAAGCTCTAACTCTCATAGCGTGTTTTCAAAAGACAATTTAGAATTTAACATCCTTAAAGGTGGTGCGGTGAGCGTGTACATGCCGCAGACGAGAAGCACAACAAATTACGACGGAGAAACGCAGCAGAGAGATAGTGCAGATGGAGTTCGATAGAGAATCGATGAACCGAAAAATCCAGCAACAAATTCAAGAATTAAGGGAACAGATGATGGGTCAATATGATGCCCATCAACAAGCAAGCTCGTAAAAGAATGATCAACCTTCGCTCCTCAAGTTTGGATTTTAGAGAACTTGCCGCAGAGGTTTCCCCTAGAGCCACCATCGGCCCCCAACGAGCGAGCTAGTAATCGGGTGACCGAAGGAGATGCAAATTCTAAGCAACCGACCAACATTATATCTACGTCGATGATCAGGAATCCAAGGGAGGGTGTCAAAGTATCTGCTTAGTTTGCCCCTGACATTGCTTTCACTCGACAAGTTTTGGAGACGATACCGCCATCGAAGCCTTCCTCACTTAGATCCCTAAAGGGGAACTGAGCAGACCTGCTATCGTCGGTACTTTGGGTGATCCAGATGGCACCCTCAACAGCGACCGGACAAACCCATTCACGTTGATCCACATAATTGAGGTAATACTGTCGGTTGAATACAACCAACACAGCTAAAGGGTTGTCACAGCTTCTTCGTTCAAAGAAGAGAATCTGGTCAAATGACAGGAAACCAACAATGAAGTGGAAATGCTGGCCCTCGAACTTGTAGAGGAAAGCGAACAAATTCAGCTCTTCGACAGAAAGAAGTGAAAAGGTGGACCGCTCGCTACTTCAACAAACATGTCCGAGAGAAGACATTCATTCGAAGATATTTAGTTTTGAAGAAAGCCGATCTAACCGCTCGTGGATAAACAATCGGCAAGCTGGATCAAATAAGGAGCGACCCATACATAATCAACCAACGCGTCTCTTTGGGGTCTTACAAACTAAAGACTTACGTTGGGAAAGAATTCCCCCAGACATGGAGCTGAGATGACCAAATTATGTTTGAATAATACCCATATCTCTCTGACACATAATAATTTAGATAGTATGCTTAAATGAGTATAATTGATTGATGAAATCCACTCCCTTGTGGCACCAGTTGACGATGCTAAGATATCAACACACATAATTGAAAAAAGGAAAATTTATATAGATCTATCTTCATTGGTACATTTAAATGGAGCTCTCATGACAAATGAAAATAGATAAAATAAGATAATATACTATATGATATAATGTTATGAATTAACTTGAAAGGTCACAATTGAATAGTAAATTTTCATTTATTTTTATGTTGATTGATTAATATATATATTATTTTCTTATGTTTTATATTACTGTAATTTAAAAGTAAGAGTATTCACTGACTAGTTGATAGCTCACACAATTTTAAACTAAACAATTTCAGGTTTAATATTAGATTATAGAATGAGTAACGTAAGGAAGAATGTCTATAAATGACGCAATCAATCCAGAAGAATGTAAATTTATCTTTATTTGTTTTAATAAATTTTATTCATTAGTAGGTTTTTTTAATAATTTATATGATTAATTGTTAGTGATAGTAATTGATATTAGACTTGAATTTCACCGTTTGATCATCAATTCTCTCAAAAAATCCAAGCCTTAGGGCATGGTCATGAGACTCATGGCATAATTTAATGAATGAGTTTCTAGTTTAAGGAATATACATACTGCAATACCTTAGGAAAAGTAAATTACAATTCAAAGAAACAAGATAATTTATTTATTAAAATAATAATAAAGTTCAAATTATATTGCTTTACCCAATAAAAGTAAAGTTATTTGTGATGAACAATGTGATACGTTACCATACGAGAAATAAAGTTAAGGACTTAATTCATCAATTTTATTTTGCCCAATTATCCTTTGGTATAATTTTAGTCTAGGCTCGATAAGGATATACTTGATTTCAGTTTTGATCTTCTCTTGTAACACAAAGTTTAATAATAAGGAAATTATGTCGTATAATGGAATGAAATAACATGAGAAGATGAATTGATATTGAGTTTTTTTGTGTAGCCTCTCATGGGATTTTCTCCCTTTTAAGAATTCTCTTGTTACTTCGACTCTTAAGTCTTGTGTCGCTTATTCTAATGTGTTCATTCATCTATCTTCTCAATCCCTTTTTCCCCTACCTCTTTGACTCTCCTTGTACATAAAATTCATCTTTTGTCTACTCAGTGTGCGTGTTTTATGCCCATTATAACAATCAAAATTTACAGATTAAGCTATGCATATGCTTGAGGCTAACAATATCAATGCCTCTTTTGCATATGCCGTCCATTTATGTGCTTTGGAAGCAAATGTTCAGTTTAGTTGGGGAAAAATGGGGGATGCAAGTGTAAGAATTACAAGAAAACTAGTGATGAAGGTGTGTTGCCAATGGAAAAGTGTTTAAGATGATGATCTTGACTATAAATCAACTATTTAAAGAAAAAAATTTCCATGTAAAGTAAATGAGCCAAATTGGTCCTTTATTTATATAATTTACAGCATATTATTCTGTATTAAACCTAATATATCAGGCAAAAAGAATTACTGCCTCACCTTAACGTTAAAATGTATTACCTTTGTTTTAACATGATTGAATAACCACTCGATGAGTAAAGTTTTGTTTAACACGCAGTTTAGTGTACGTCATTACAATCATGCATGAAACCTGTTAGTTCAATATTTTACCTTGAAGTCGGTCAGATCAGGGATGACATAGCGTGGCAACTTTTCATCCTGCACAACATAACCACCTGCTCCAAATGTTGCATTAATTATAAGAAAACATTCACAGTTTAAGGAAATTCAATTCAATAATGCTTCCAGCAAAGTTCGAAAAAAGTTCAAAAAGTAAACCATCCAATTTAAAAACTAAAATGACAGCTAACGCATTAGACAGTTAAACCAAGCAAAAAAGTGGAAGTTATAAGAGAAACATCCTACAGAAAAAATTTATGACAAAAGAAATTATCAGCAAAAACTTCCTTGTAGCCGGTGAAAGCGGCATGATAATGCTATCTCTCAACCTATTAACTGGCTTTCTATTTATACGTGCATACCACACAATTCCTATCTTTTACATATCTAAAACCTAAAAAGTCATATTTGCATGAATATCACTCAACTATTTAGCATCACAACAAAAATATTACCATTATTATCTTTTTAAAAGTGAAATATATATTTTCATGCATAAGTTTATCACACTATAGTGTTATAAATGTAAATATAAATTTTGGGTGTTAGATTTGTAAATACATAAGAATTGTGTAACAGTCTGAACTCTCACCCACCGAGATATTGTCTGCTTTGACCTGATTGCCTCACAGTTTTGTCTCGGTGTGATTTCTCAGAAGATCGCCCATCCCGAGAGTGCTCCCAAGTGAGTACGCTTAAACTTTAGATTTTATGATGAAATTTCACTGTTAAACCAAAAGGCACCTCGAAGTTTAGGAGTTCATCTTCTTTCTACTTAACGGGTTTCATAATCTCCCTCACTTAAGTAACTTACATCCTCGTTAGTGATCTTAGCCCAAAATCATCTACCAGGCAGGTAGAAATCTAGAGGTGACACCTACATATTTAAGAGGTGGTTCTCACCATATAGCACTTTGTCCGGACTTGGGTAAAAGAGGTGGCTCCCAAGGCGTTACACTTTGTTTTGTATGACACTTAGTTCCCATTTTTAAGTTAGTGAAATGTTCTGATATCATTTGTAATAGCCCAAACTCTCACCCATCGAGATATTATCCGCTTTATAATAATATCACAATCATGAACGCACCGAGCAATGGTCAAGGATAAGCCATATGACATATTTATGGATAAAAGTGATAGAAATAAATACATCAATGTACTAGATGCAAATTTGTTTGATATGGATGAATGTAATACCCCAAAGTCAAAAAATACCCTAGTCGGTTGCTTATAAATAGTTATAATACCTATCAAAACATCAGGAGCTTCACGGTCTTCTTACCACGTCATAACAAATGCTCTAACTGGAATCGCTTGTTTGGGTTGCTCAGGAGCTTGAGGCCGTTGAGTCTAGTATTGCACCATTAAAGGGTATAGATACGTCAATGGCGACTGAAGGTGTTGTTGGTACTGCAATGCAAAAGAACATGACTAATACAGTTGTGACATCATCAATTGTTGTGGTTGCTGCTAAGATTGAAAATAATTATGCTTCGCTTGACCCTTCCCATGATTCTTCTAATATTGACCTCCATTAGACCATTTTCACTTCTTCTTGCATTGATATTTAAATTATGCTCTATCACTTGAGGTAGACCTAAAACTTTGAAGGGACAATCCAAGACCTTATGATCGACACTATAATAGTAAAAACATTTGCCGACAACCAAGTTGCATGTTCCTAATTGCCATTTCCCACAATAAACACGAAGAAAATTTATTTTTTATTTTTGTGCCTGATGATTCTAATGCTGTTTCTTTTGGGAGCTTTCATTTGTCTGTGTATCTAAACTCTTCTGCTTCCTAACATACTTTTCCTCACAGACATTGATCCCTTTCTTCGAGTGAATAACTCGATCCATCAACACTTTGTAAGTTGTACACTTCACAACGGATAAACTCCCTGAATATTTTCTCTCAGGCCAAATAGTAGGTGATAGATATTCTAATCTTCATGATGACTATTTAAGGGAATAAATCTGAGATCCCGAGCAAATCGTGTCTCGTACTCTCGAACAGTCTTCCAACTTCCTTAATTCATTCAAGAGCTTGGCACGATCAAGCATAGAAAAATACTGCTATAGGAATATTCTCTCGAAATCCACCTAATAAATTATTGTGTCTGACCCAAAAGTATTGTGACGATGACTCTCCCACCAATCATTAGCTCCTTCGCGCAACTGAAACGTAGCAATGTTTATCTTGCAATCTTCATATTAATTTATGCCTTGAAAACTATTCTCAATGTCATGAAACCATGCATCCAACTTGATCGGGTCGTCGCACAGTTGAAGGTAGGAAGACGTATCTTCAGAAACTGATTCATCACTCGATCCACGGTACTCCCATTAAGCAAAAGTGAATAATATTTCAATGGTTGAGAGTTTGAGCTATTACAAATTGTGTAGTATGTATGTCATTTTGCCTTATAAAATTCCTATGATACTAAAAATATATTGCCCGTGCATATACCAAAGGCCTACCTAAAAACTTACTTACAATCTAGAAATTTTCAGAAAATATCTTGAATTATGTTTCTGAATAACCCAATTGGTAAAATATATATGGAATCTTCTCCTCAAGCCATACTTTTAAGACACTAGTGTATTCACACGATTCCATGGTCATATGAGCTAATAATAGGCCCCAAATACTAAGCAAAATAAATAATTAAATAAAAGAAAAGAACAAACGATTTAGATGGAAAAGTTAGCTCCTACCACCATTCAAGAAGCCTTGGCACTACCTCAATGACACTCACTCCAAATGCTTTGAATCTAAGAGGCTTAAATCAACAACAAGCCTTTATCCCACTAGGTCGGTTACATGAATCCTTTTCCTCCATTGTGTCATATTGAGTGTCATATTTTCATTAAATTCTAATAAATTAAAATAATTTTTTATACAACATACCCAAGTTTTTTAGGTCCAATTCCAACTTTCTTAACATGAGTTAAATCTAAAATCTCTACTCTCCTAACTGGGTAATCAAATGATCAGCGTTTAATGTGACCGAATCATCTAAGAAAACTCTCTCTAATCTTGTCTGCCGCTGGAGCTACTCCAACCCTTTAACAGAATGTGACCGAATCATCTAAGAAAACTCTCTCTAATTTTGTCTGCCGCTGGAGCTACTCCAACCCTTTAACATATATATTTGTTTCGCATTGTCTCCAAGTGTTAAGCCACTCATCCACCCGAGCATTCTCATCTCAACAACACTTCACTTAATTTTATGCTTATCTTTTACAGGCCAACATTCTACGTCATAAAGCATTACAGTTGTCGCAACTATCTTATAAAATTTTCCTATTAATAAGTCTAAGCGGTACTTTTCTATCACACAATAGGCCTGATGCGTTTCTCCACTTCAACCATCCAACTTGAATTCTAATAATAGCATCCCCATCTATATGAACTAAATGAACTAAAAATAATTAACCACAGAAGAATAGGAGGGTTATCAAATTGCAAATTCGCTAACTTCCCAAGTCATTGTTCATACATTAACAACCAAACCCACTATATCATGAAGTCTAATTTTGCTTTCCATCATTTTAGTCTAAATTTTGAAGAAAATTAAGCATACCACATGTTCCCAAATAGTTCCTGAAGGTAGGTATATCGTTATTAATCACCATTTCACAGAATAAGCTAAAAATGAAGTCAGACTACCTTAAGGGCACAACAATCTGAATACCAAATAAACAGTGTACTACAAGCAACTTAATTCGACTATAATAAGAGGAAGAATCCTCTGCAAATTCATTATCTTACCAGGCCATAACTCATACACTAAAGACCAATCTCAATAAGCCATGAAGGATGATCCTACTTTCCACCAAGATTTTGATAAATTTAGACATACCACGTGTGCCAATATAGTTCTTAAAAACAGGCATAAAGCTCAAAAACGCACTACAAACAAAAAGCTAAAATCAATGGTAGATTACCTACAGGGTGCTCACTCCTGTCATATACATTTAATGATAGATCAATTGTGTGAACCAAAAGCAGTTAAATTGGGCTAGAACAGGGAAGAGATCCCTTTGCAAATTTGCAAACTTCCAAAAGTTGTTAATCGCACACTGATTTAGCTAAATCTTCTAATCATTTAGCATATAATTTAAAGAAAACTAGACATGCCTCATGTTCCAAGACAGTAAGTCTGTCACTATAAATCACAATTCCACACACTATTAAAAAAAAAACAAAGTTAAATTACCTCGAGGGCACTCACTTCAATCATAAGAGCTCTATCATTGTGTAAACTAAAAGCAATTTGAATTGGCTAGCATAGGAGAGAGAACCATTTGCAAATTTGTTAAATAAGGCACAGAAGAGCAATCTAGCTATAGCATGAAGGGTGGTCTCTCGTTCCATCATTTTAGCCTAGATTTTAAGATCATTAGATATGCCTCTGATGCCAAGATTGTTCCTGAAACAAGCCATGTCACTTTAAATAGCAATTACATATCATAAACTAAGGGTCCTCAGGGTCCGTTTGGGGCAACTTGTGCATTTCAGGATAAGCTGCTTATCCTGAAACGCGGACCGCGGGCCGGCCGTGGGGGCGGTCCGCGGCCTGCGTTTAGTGTAAAAACCCAAATGCAGTTTCGGATAAGCTGGCAAAACGCGTGAACCAAACGGTACGGCGACGTTTTGAAAACGCCGCCCGCACTTATAAGCTGCCCCAAACGGACCCTAACTCCAATCAAAATGCTCTAAAGATTAGATCAATTGTGTGAACAAATCAGTTGGCAGCTTGAAGTTAGAAATCATGCATTAAAAACAATGAAGTCCATTAAATCAATCATTTGTTTTAGATTTAGTTAGATGCCAACATTATCAAAACAACCTAAAAAATGATGATTCCATTTCACCACTCAAAACAGCTGAAATCAAATACGCATTTTCCAAAACATATTTTTCTATTTACAAGAGTCCTAACAGCAAATTCAATTCGGTTAGGTTAGGAGACAATCCCTTCGCAAACTTGCTAACTTCCAAGATCTTAGCGCATAAATTAAACAAATCCAAATCCGCATTTGAGGTTCTACCTATAGAGGCCAGCCACAAGCTAGAAGAGAGCAACTACAAATAATTATTGCAGAGCTCAAGTATGGGATTACTGAAAGTACACCACCTCACAGAGCTATTGCTACTGTTGTAGCGTTTGGTAATTACTTTGGAAGAACATAATTACTCTGGAAGGACATAATAACCAGCTTCGGTAGGGTTTATTGGGAATATGATTCCCAAAAACATGCATTTTCGACATTGATACGATTTCCCAATAGTATAATTAGATCAACGGTAGAATTCAATAACGAAAAAGAAAAAAAAAAAAAAAAACTCATACAAAATCGAAGGCACATAAGGCCTCCCAAGAAAGAGGAAGCAATGACCTTTACGAGTATGGAAACCAGTGGGCTTGCAGTTCTTTCCCTTGTAATAATCGCGAGGTGCTCTTTTTGATGACAAAATACTGAGTGAAGATGTCCTCTTTCTCCGCATCGCTCGCCCTAATCCTATTATCAAACCCAGCGGCATCTTCACAAACCTAACACCAGGATTGCATATTATGGAGATGAAAGTAATATTTGTAATCGAAGATATCAAAAAGTGGGAGATGGAATAAAAATGGTAACTGGAAGTTAATTCTGCAGAGATGTAAAGGAATTGGTCTGATCGACGGCGATTCTACCGCGGCCGGGAGTGTTAAGACGTTAGGGTTTAAAGAGCGGGCCTACTCATTAGAGTCACATTTATCAATGAAAGAGCATCTAATAATTTTTTAGCTTTTACGTTAGAAACTAATTTAAAATCATCCAATAAAATTCTAAATGAAATAAATGATCGCTGCCATTCCATTTTTCTAATCAAAATTCACAGTAAAAGGATAAATTTTCATATAAAATAATATCATTATTTTTTAAGTATATATATATATATAAATATAGTTTTTACACATAAAATTAATATTTAAAAAATAGGTACAAATATCACCAGAATAATTAGCATTAATATTTGCCTTTGAATCTTCACAACTCCTTGCCAAATATTGATTTAATGCATTGATTTATGAGTAATGAGTCTGGATTTTTAGGTATCAATCATCTAAAATATTAAATATAATATTTATCCACCTAACTTCTAAATAAAATATTTTAATCACCCAAAAACTTTATGAGTGAGTTTAGATCGAGTGGATGTAATAAAAAAAGTTAAAATGTTATATTTAAAATTTAGGTTATTAAAAATATTATATTTAATATATTATGGTGGTTTTTATATAAATATCCCAAATTATCACTCTCTTAAGATCACAAGTTCTCACGACAAAAATTTCAATTAAAAAATTTTCTTGTTCCACATCACATAGATACAACAAAAATTAAGTACAAAATACCCAATAAAAAAATTAAAATTAAGCGAACATGATCCATTAAGGATGTAAGACCAGTTATGAGTTGTGTAACTGGAGATACTCGATGGTATTAACTCGTATCGGACTGAGTCATGTGAATCCATTGATAATGGTTGACATATCTTAGGATGTTGGTTTAAACGTTTGCTCGACGACTACAACATGTTATGGAAGAGGTCGAAGAAAATCCACCAAGGATTTTGACCTATCCAAGGCTTTATTGTCCAAGCTTTTACTTGACGACTGTAGCCTATAATGGAAGAGGTTGAATTGACTCTATTTGGGTTCGATTAAGTCTAGAATGAGGTGTCAGAGATGCTCAGTATTTCTTGATACTATGGTGTAGATCGCAATAAATGATATGTTCTATTGGAAATATAGTTGTAGTCATACTTAAGAGTAATATTTGACAATTCGTTAGTTGCTGCTTTTGAATCATTTGCCCCCCTGCGAATGTGTTTGCCATATGAGCTTGTAGAATAACTCATGTATTGAGCTTTGAAGAGAACAACTTCTTAATCTAGCTGATGATGAACTCCAGTACGATGAGGGGCGTTGAGGAAGCATTATTTGCGGTGAAGATTGCTCCAATACATGAGCGATTCTCGTAGACTTATAATCTAAATGAAATATGAGAGAATTCCCCACCACAGTCGTGCACAAGATATTGAAGTAAACGACCTTTTGAGACAACGGTGAAGGTTCCCCCCTTCCCCCCACATCGAAGAATGCTTTGGAGATGATCTTCAAGATACAAAGAAAATTCCTTCGCCAGTTGGATGATATGCATCATTGGGAAATGAAGTAGGAGATCGACATCTCAAATTTGAAAACATGTCAAGCAGTGCTTTGTTTCCCGCAAACGACACCAAACAGAGGCATGTTAGAAATTTGTGGTTGTAGAGTGATGAATTAATGTCTTAGCATTTCATGAGAATTCAACACACACTCATAATGACACCAAAAGTTTTTACATCGAACAACCCGCAAATGGAAAAAACCACGGGCCTTACCCATTTGTTCCCAAACGGAAAAGGGTTACTAGAATTTTCAAGTTACAATGTTAACTGACAGCGTCTGCATAGTAGTAGTTGATGACGATTGGTTGTGATTGACGACGAGTGGTGGTTGTCGATGGCGGTCTACAGTGGTCGGCGACGATAAGCGAGTGTTGACAACGGTCGGCGGTGGTGGACGACAGTCGGCGATGGTTGACGGCTGTCGGCGGCGATCAACGATGATGGAGATGGTGCTGGACTTCAGCTCCTTCTTAAAGCTTCAATTTATCTCTAAAGCCTCAAGGTCCCCCTCTCATTAGAAGGGTGAGACTCTATTTATAATGTTATGTGTGTAATTAATGCAAGAATATAATGGATGGCTTTTGATGGACATTTAGGTGCCTTAATGATGTTAGAATTGAACAACTTTGGGCTCGTTGGATTCGTCTTGCTGAGACGCTCAATTCGACTATGAAATCGTTGGATTTGACATCCGTTCAACATTCTAAATTTGTCCAAAAAACTTCCAAGAGTGGTTTAATGATTTGATTTGAGCTTGATTTGACTTGAATTAACCAATTTCGATATCATTCGGTCCGTCTCGTCAAGCCGGTCAGTTTGACTATAAGTTAGCCGAAATCGATGTTTTGGATAAAAAAAAATACATAAAATATTATTTTAAGATTCGTGTCGTGCCTCGAGAACCATATAGGATGATGAGAATTTGTTGATGACATTTCAATAATATTTTATTTGTTTTTTTATTATAAAAACAAATAAATTTCTTTTAAAAAATAATCAAAATAATTTAAAGATGTTTTGAACATTCCAAAATAAAACTGTTACAAAAAAAAAAGTTTCAAATAAAAAAATAGACTAAATAAAATAAAACTAACAAATAAAAAACACAAAATTATAAAAAATTATCTCAACAAGCTTCTTAGGGCTTGCATGAGATCAATTTCGTTTTTTTTATTTTTTATATTTTATTATTATTTTTTAAAACATATTTATTTAATAGAATTTTTATTTATTTTACATTATTATTTTACGAAATAAATTAATCTATTTTTAAGGATATATTAAACATCTAAAACTTCGCTTAAAAGAAGGGGAGATCATACATAACAACAAATTTCTATGTATTTACATGCATATCATCTAAACTTCTCCTTTCATATTTATACCACCCTAAATTTTCCAATCACATCAAAATTATTGCTATTTTAACATTTTTTAAATATTAAATACACTTTTGAAAACGCACCTAAAACTTCACGTTTGGGGCAGCATCCCTAGTGTGCGATGTTTTGAAAATACACCTGATCTGTTTGGGTAAACTATGTTTTGGCAGTTTGTGTGTTTTCAAAACACTGTAAATAACGTTTTCACACCGCACCGATCTAGGTGCGGTGGTAGGTTTCTGATTGCGGTCTAGCTTTCTATAAAAATAAAAATTTGTAATAGCTATTCTACATAGTTTATCTGCAGATTATTTTTAACCAACTTATCAACAGATTATTCAATAAGATACAACTACCCCAAACAGACCCTTAGGTATTAGATACGTAAATACAACCGAGTTATAGAGTGTTATGCATGTAAATCTCCGTTTTCTTCTCCTTTCACAACATTTTGGCACTTTAAATACATGCATAAAAAGTGTATTTGTGTTTTTTTTTTAATTAATAATAATACTATATTTTGATGTAATGTTAAATAATTCAGTGATATGTAAGTATGAAAGTTTAGGTATAAGATATCTAAATACATTAGCATCGTGTGCTATGTATGTAAAACCCTACGGAATTTAATGTGTTATATATGTAAATACATGGGAATTAGGTGGTATATATGTCATATACCCCCTTTTTCAGCACTTGTCTTCTTCGCAACCCAACATAAGCCATTCATCCAAGAAACGTGGTTTGTAACTACATGTCTGGTTTTAATGTCTCAGAAGCAACAGAAATCATACTTGAGGATTAGCTAACACGAAAGAATACAATGTTCGTTAGGATATTTTCATCCGCCTTATACTAAAAAATGAAATCTTAAAAATAATAAAATTTAAAACTAATTATATAAAAATATAAATTGTATAGAACATTTAAGTATTATCTAATCAAATATATTGGCACGACTCTCGTCATGTCTGGCGGCGATTCATGAGCCTAAATATTCTAGTATCTCTTTTTGAAGACACAACAGTCTTCAAATGCAAGATTCGAACTCTAGACCAGATGAGACTTATAATAAACAAAATTGATGCACTGCCAAATATAAATATAAATTCTATATAAATTCTATATAAATTATATAGAATATTGATGTTTGATTTGATGGGCTCTCATGTGAGGAAAATAATTGTTAAGGTAGATCAATGTATTAAGTTTAATATCATATTGGATAGTTATAAAATATATTTTTATAAAAATTTCACTTCACTACTAAATGTTAAATGAACTCATAACATAACAAGTTAAAATACACATTTTCATGCATCTCTTCTAACTTTGAACTTATGAAAATGCATATTTGATGGACTTTGTTTGAAGTGCATAAAACATGGAGATGGATGAGATAAGTGTTATGGTATGGCTCATATACCATATAGGGACAGACGCTGGAGCGGAGCGGAGCGGAGCGGAGCGAAAGAATCTGTCCAAATTGGGAAGTTACGTTATATGGGTTGGGGCTATACGGTACATGGGTAATTTGGGAATTATATATTGTACTGCAGGGCTTACTCTAGGATTATAAATAGACCTGTTTGTAATCCTAGGTCTTTGAGAGAATTGAATTTTGTATTCTGTATTCTTTTCTGAATATTGAAAAGGAGGTCGCCGCTCTGCTCCCGAGGATGTAGGCATCTTTGCCGAACCTCGTTAAATCTCTGTGTTCTTCTGGATTTGTGTCGATT